TTTTAACCTGCTAATCCAGGCCAGGCAACGTATGTACATCACTTGTGGCTTGGGATCATGGACACTGCTTAGCTGAGTGCCCATGGCACAGCCAGACCAGGCACGGTGCAGCTACAACTGCTAACAACCTTTAGAGAGCATCTCTCTTGCAGCCTAGGCAGCCACCACTGTTCTCTCTCAGCAACTGCAAGAGATAGATCTTCCTTCAAAATAATTTACTCTAAAAACTGGACAAAACCCGCTAAAATGGGAAGATTATTATTGTTATTGTTGTTGTTGTTGTTATTATTATTATTATTATTATTTTTGATGTGGGAAAAACATTGTTTTGCCTAACATGTCTCCTTTTCTGGCACTTCTGCATTCTCCATACATAAGAAACAAAATTTCAGTTTGTAGGCCACACCACTGTCTGTTTCTTAAGCGATATTGTAAAGTGAAATTCCAAGGTAAGGTCAGGATGCAGAGCTGATTGATATAGTGCAAAGGCATCAGAAGAGAGAGCTATGTAAAGAGGAAGAAATTGATGTCATTTATTGCTGACATGGATTTCCCCTGTCTCTCTGTCTTTCTCCCTTTATCTTTGCTCCATTTTGGATGCAGATATGAATACAAATTAGTTTAATAAAATTTCCCAACTGAAATACAAAACATTTGGAAATTATTTGAAAATGTACCATGCAGCTGAAATGTCATGGTAAATTTTAATCTGCAGCATGCGACTAATACCCTCTGGCTATCTCAATGGTGTAGAAGATTGTAATTATTCACCTGTTAAAGTAAATGTGGCTTTAACAAGTCTGATCACAGTTGAAAAGGAAGAGTGGAGAGGACAGGTAGACAGATGCTGTCTCAGTATGTCATCGGTGAATGATGCCTTTGTAGCTCTTTGGGAAGAATTATCTAGCTCTAAAGAAAAAAGCCTATAATATAAAGAAGTAGACTGTTTCCTGTAAAAGTAACTTTTTCTAGATTTTCCTTTGACAAAGTTTTCCCACTAATGGTATTGCAACAGAGACAGTGTTAGTGCTGTTCCCAGCTGGTATCCCATCCTTTGTTACCAAGATGAAAAAATAAGTGAGATGACATAAAAATATCATCACAAACCACTCTTTTGTAAGTGCTATCCAATATTGTCCTCACAGAAATGGCTGTTTGCTGCTTCCCCTCATCAGCATTTTGGAATTTTTTGCCTTTGATTAAAAATGTATAGGGCCTTGTTCATCAAGCTGTGAATTCATGATGGCGCCCGTCTCTTGAGCTTCATTGGCATGAAAGAGGATCTTTGCAATTGTGAGTGAGGTTTGTGGCCATCCTCGGGCCAGATGAAGGGATGAGGAGCCCTTCATTGGGTCTTTGCCTGGGTGTCAAGAGCTAGTCCTCTTCCAAGATATGTTGGTATGCCAGTGTTACTATGAGACTACATTCTGAAATCCTTCTGTCAGTGACATGCGTCCATTTCCTCTTGGTTTTGTCCAGCAGAGAGGGGAGTTCAGGTCACTGAGAGGTGGACTTGGCCTGCATCTTACCAGGTAATGTCTTTAAAGCATAAGCCATGTGAGAGGCCCCAAGTGACTAGCAGTGTATCCAGGCCACATGGTGTTTGGATATTGGCTTTAGCTAAGTGGCCACACCACATATTGGAACACTGTGTCACACTAGGAGCTTTTTTCTGTCATGAATTGAGTAAAATGTAGAAAACTGAGCTGTCTGCTCATGGTGGCTGGGGAATGTCTCATCGCCTGAGACCTAAGCTCCAGTAAATGAACTTTTCCAACTGCTTTTCCCCAGTGTTACATGTTTTGTTCTTTGAAAGGTAATGCCCTATCCAATCTCAATTTTAACTTTTGTATCTAATATTTGTTTTAAGAAAAACACCTTGATCTTCCTTCAGTCCATACTGATCTCAGTTAATGTTGAGTAGTTTAAATCATGAAAACCTTCTTCACAAAAGTCTGTGACCATGTAGCAGTAAAGAGAGCTTGGCTCATCAAAATCATGTCACTCACACATGGAAGGTAAAAAGCACTTTGAAGTGGTAATGAAGTAAATTCCTGCTGCTTAGCAGAACATTTTGATAAGATGATATTCATTGGTAGAGTACTTATCAGAAGAGCTGTAATTCATTTTGTGAAAACAAAGATCCCAATGGAAAGTAGTTAGACGTGAAGATCTAGCTGTTCCTCTTCTTAACAAAACTCATCCTTCTTTTGTGCATTTCCTTTGAAGAAGCAAGTGTGGTGGTCTCGGGCCATCGCCCATATACATAGTGGCTGTGTTTACTGATGGCCTTAGAATCAATACCAGATGATAATTTTGTGTTTTCAGTTTAAGCACAGTGAACCCCTTCAGGCCTTTTCAGTCTTTCCTCCTTTGGGAAAAAAAAATGTACATTTGCAAGATGAGTGGAGGGCTCTCTCTTGTTCCTCTCAAGGCTGTGATATCAATGTCATACACCGCCCATTCTCCATGGGGTGCTCAGAGCACCCATGTTCCCAAATGTTTGTTCCTTTTTCTGTATCTTGTGGTTTAATACAAGCTATCCTTCATGCTTTTTCTGGGATCAGTTGAAATGTTTTAGAGTGGAATTTTTAAAAAATTCAGTATACATATCTGTCTTATACTTCGCCCTGCTTTGGCCCTGAATATTACTTTATCTGACCTCTATTTTTCAATTTGTCCAGCTTAGTAAACCCTTCTGGCAGAGTGCTGAAAGCCATCAGACATTTCAGTCAGGGCCACACCCTAGTCCCTCAACTGTTTCAAGTCAGGTGATCTCTTAAGTAGAGAAAATGATGAGAGAAACAACAGATGGTAGCTTTCCAGAGAACTGAGCAATGTGTGGAAAAATCAGATTTTAAAAAGACTGAAGCAGTTGGAATGCTTTGGGACAACCAAGACCAAGCATGGGTATTATGTACAGTGTATTACTAAAAAAAAGAGGCAAGAGAGTGTGTTTTAGATTTTTACATACTGATTCTGTTGGCTTTGAGGCTCAAAAAAAAATATCACTGTGGAGATGTTCAAATACCCACTTCAAAGAGAGGGGATAAATTGCCAGGATGTCACTGGTGTTTCCCAGCACGTTATGGCCTGTAAAATCCTAGTTTCAGTAACCATATATTGGCTGGCGTGCTACATGCATAGGTGCAGGAAAGCCCCTTGTGATTTCTAAAAAGAAAAGATTAATGTGAACATCAGCTGCTCATGAAAAGCTGTCAATACAGGCACGGCTCTCCGAGGTTTTAAGAAATAATGTGATGGCAAGAGATTGTCTAAAGGCCTTAATGGAAGACATTGGATTACCTGAACATGAATGTATCTAGTGAGTTAGAGGGATGTGTTTTTAAGCAACCGGGCTTGACCTGTGGCCTCAAACACCAGTGACTGTAGTGCCATGGCACTGACAGGGGAACGGTGTTGTCCTTCCATGTCCTTCCCTCCTCCTGCAGCCACAGCAGGTGGCTCACACCTCTTCCCAAGGGCCCTTTTTGGGCCCGTCCAAATCCCTGACGGACTGCAGCGGTTGAGTTACTGGGGGAAGAAGTAGGGTTGTGGTGGATGTTTTCTGCATTAGGTTTCCATGATGTGAACACAGCCGGCCACTTTTCATGTCCACCGGATGCCAGGTGGAAAGTTATGTCTCTGGGGAAAGCACTCCTTTGGTTAACATGAAGAGGCGGGCGAAGTTGTGGTGGGGTCGTGGGGCTCCATGCACGAGGAGCAGGGCAGTGTCTCAGCTGCTGCACAGAGAGTTTGTTCCCACAGCAGCCCTGATGTGAGGGAAGGACTTTGTGTCTTCCACCTCTGCATTTAATCACGGTGAAAGTCGAGTGGTGGGGGGAGAGCTCACAAATCACAACAGGCATTTTTTCTCCCACTTCGTGGGGTTTTAGCAGTGTGACAACTGTTAACAACTTTTTGCTTGGGTAAATTATATAAGACATCGCTTTGCAAAGGTTGCTATAATGACTTTTTAACAAGAATTTATCCAGAAGCCATGACACGAAGCGTAAGTAATTGCAATCATACGGTATCTGTGTCATCGATGGTTTCTGCTATTTTGTCATAACTACTATAACACCATGTATAATTGGAAAGAAATATAGTATTTTTCTGCTTTCTTAAGAATCAGAATTGATACTGCAATAGGGCATGGTCCCTAAAATCCTGCTGTGTATTAATGTAAATCTATGTTGTATGAAATACAGTCTTTCTTATCTGATACCATCTAAACTAATGTTGCACCCATGGAACTACGATCAATTGTCTCTGTTTCTGAGTTAACTTTCTGGATGTCGGTAAAATAATCTACCATGTAAATCATTCACTGTGTTGGGTTTGTAAGAGAAGTGAGACTGACTCTGAACATGAGTATGTCTTTTGTCATTAGTGTATGACTCCTTATTCTTGAAAGACTCAAATCAGATTTAAAAAGAAGGAAGATTCCACACTCTTATAAATCTCCTTTACCAGTATTTGACAATTAGGAATGTACAGGCAAGGCAAAGAGTAATTTACCTCGCTTTTGTGGCTCTAGCTTTCCAAATAAATTACACTCATGCTATTGCTTCTGGGAACATCTGCATTTAAATCAATCACAATACAGTAATGCTATCTGCCAATAATACACTTTCTCTTTTTCCAGGGAAAGTATGTCTAGTGTGTGTCAGCAAAAGGAGGTCACTGAAAAAAAAAAAATAGAAAAAAATGCCAAGACAGGAATGAAAGCAACATCACTTAACCTAGAATAACTGAATATTGCTAAACTAGATCTCAGTCAGACCAATCCCTCTCAGCCAAAAATAACCCCATAGGTTGAATACTGTTTCCAACCTGCATCTCAATTTTTTTAGCTACTGAGAGCCTTTATGGGTGAGTTTATTTTTAAGGAAAGTTTAGCAGATGAACTGACTCCCATGTAACAGAGTGTACCTCTTGTGAAACCTGACAGTAAAAATAAGTAATAAATACCTGTTGATTTTTCTTTTTTTTCACAGGCATCAGGGTTACGTTTATACCTACAGAGTGTCCAAGACAGAAACTGGGTCCTGGAGTGCTGAGGTGTGTACTTTTTTCTCTTCTGAAAATTTCTACATCCTGTTTGATGTTCATATTGATTTAATGAAATATATTCAAATTATTCATGGTTCTGCATAGTCTGATTTTCATTGAAAGTAATCGATCTTGAGTGTGCCCATCACTCCGATGTCTTGGTGCCACTTCTGACAGTCTTGAACTCATAAATTAATTCCCTGTTACATTTCAGCTGCTGCATAATGCAATAGTGCATTATTTTGCATCATTTTAAATGGCAAAATTATTGTGGTTTTATAATTTGACAAGCACAATCAGTTCCCTTCTATCCCATGTACCATTAATGTCAGAATATTTAAGGAAATTATTTTCAATCTATGATGTTTTGAAGTTAATGTCTCTCAAGATTAATTCATCATCAGTGCAAAACTTATATAGGGTAGCCCAAACATGATACAAAATATATTTTCCCCATCTGATAAGAAACTGGTAATTCAAGTGTAGAGTAACACAATTTGCAATACAGACAACTATTTGTGTTGATGGAATCAGGATGCTAACCCATATTTCTTTTATGAAGGTCTTGTTCTTTGGATGTACTCTGTGTATTAATTCATAATTAGCTTTCTATTCGCACGTTAATGAACACTGATTACAAGCATTGCATAATTTCTAGACAGGTGTAATTCCTTGGCCATTATTATAATAGAAGTGGTTGCAGTGCTACAGAAGACAAGACTGATTCCTGGGGTTACTCCAGCAACTGACATTACTGCAGAATAAATAATTATCTGTGTCACCCTTGTGAATGGTACCCAGGAAGAATTTGCTCATTCATTCCTCTAAGGCACCAAGAGCTCCCTGTAGATTTGCACTGCCCAAGCAAGAGAGTTTTTGGGACTGGGTGGGGTGGTAGTGCACCCGGTGTGCCAGGGTGAGCACCGGTACCTCAAGAAGGGTGCCGAGACTCCCAGGGACCTCGGACTGGGGAGGATAATTCCCTGAGGGAGGCTGCAGCCTGCTTTGGCCCCAGGTAATGCCAACATCTGCAGTGAGGTTTTTCTGGTGTTAAATAGGCCTGCTACAACTTCTCCCCCATGACCTCCGCTGGCTTCCTACGTATGGGTTTGGGGCTTTCCCCAGCTATGTTTTAGGCAAACCTTATCTGTGTTTTACAGCGTAGGTGTCCTGAAGGCCCAGGACTCTCAATACATCCTCTACAGGAAAAGGTGCTAGCTACAGATGCATGATATCAATCCTTCCTTTAAGCAGAAACCTTTAAGTACACATTGCTACGAGCACGTTGGCCTCAGCTGTTAGAAGCCTAAATCCAACTTATCCCCACAAAATGTGCCTCTGAGGCCAAACCAGGCTCCAGCTGCAGCTTTCCCGTCTCTGCTTCCTTCCCTGTGTCTGGTTAGTCTCTGATCAAGCACAGGTCACACCCATCTTTCAAGGGTGAGGCAGGGAAATTGAGACAGTGTTGGTAAAATCCCAGCCAGTGCAAAGCCTCCATCTGGTGTCAGTGAGGCAGGATTTAGCCCGCAACTGCTGGGTGAGAGCAGTGTCCCTTGGATGGGACTATGCCAGCAGGACTTATATTTGTCCTCCCATAACTTTGATGGGGAGGAGTTATTACAAGAATACCCTGAAGGATTTAACACAAACATTGGCTTTTTGATTAAAAGCAGACACAGATTAATTTCACAGTATTTCAAAAGATGCTAACATAGAGAGATAGAGAAACTCCCACTTTTAATAAATAGGTAACATTTTGCTGCTGCCTTAACACAAGAGGAATACTCAATGAACACATAAGATAGTGAATGCTCAGAGAAAGGCTTGCAAAAATGCTGAATTTAGTGGTGTAAGGACTGCTCCTCCCCAGTGAGTGCCAGGTAGCTCTCTAGATTGTCTTACTGTTACTTCCAGGCTGGAAGTATTTTACCAATAAACCCCAGGCTGGAGGTTAAATCACTGGCTGCAATAAACCAGGGTCAGAAATAGCAAAAGGTCACTTGGGAATTTTCCTAATAAGCATGGCAGGCTCTGAGTTTTTCTTCTAGTGATTAAGAAATCATCCTTCTTTCAGCCTTATATCAGCACACTGCTGGAAATCGCTCTTAGGAGGGTTTCATAGCACGGAGGCCACAATGCGCTGGGGGAAAGAGAAGAGCAGTACGGCTCACTGAGTCATTTTAAGTTGGGACATCGGGGGGTCCACGTGAAGGGCTCGCTACTTCCCTGGGGGGGTGTGCATTTCCCCCGAGCCCGGCAGACGCTCAGCACTGAGCATCCCCTCTCACCTCTCACCCTTTGGCTTTGCAGACAGCACCTGGAGTCCACCGGAGGCTCTTTCGGAAAGTGCACAACCTCATTTCAGCTTTTCAGAAACCCGACCAAGGCATCATAACACCCCTGCAGTACCCAGTCGTCAACCACGCGAAAGCCAAACACTTCCCAGGTACTCATGAGGTGGAGGGTTCCTCGGCTGTGTCTGAGCAGAACCCTCCGTGGTGGTGGGGATGGAGGACTTAGACTTATTTGCGTCTTTGACCTGAGCTAGCCAGCAGGGTGGCATTGCCAAAAATATGCCCTTACTTTGCTACTGTGTGATCAAAATGCTGGCACTCAGGTGCTCATTAGGGATAGGGCTGGTCAGTGTGATGACAAAATAAATTTTGAGTATGTATTCCTGAATGTTATACTGGCAGCAGCTACCTTCCCTCCCCAGAGTCCTCGCTTGCGTAGGTATGAACCTTCTGCTCGGTCTGTTTTCTTGGAGTATTCATCTTTTCATATCTTTCTGATGGCTTTTCTTAGGGAGAAATGAAGGCCATGACTTCCACCTGCAGCCATCATGAAGATGTTTCTCCAACTGTGACATAACCACATCTTCCAATGTCTCCTCTAGCCAGTGCTCTAGAACAGAATGATTTATATGATAGTTAATACAACTCCATGAGTTTTCTTGTAACATTTGCAGAAATGTGTATTTCATAGAATTTCTAGCTCAAAATTTTGAAGTTTTAAGTTTCAGAATGTTTTGAATTTATTTTTTTCTTTTTTTTTTTTCTAAGAGAAGATAAAAGAATATCAACTACTAATGTCTTTTTTTTCTCTTTGCACTGTCAAGTACAAAATATTTTTCACTTCAAGATTAGTTCCTAATAAATAATTAGTTACTATTTTTCATTACTTATCTTTGGACCCTGCTTTGCTTTGTTCTGGTTGGCATTTATGCACAACTGGGCAAGTCACCTTTTACAGACTTAGGAAAGTTGCTTACGTTAAAGTTTACTTGCCTTGGGTGGTCTGTGTGTCTGTCATTCATACAGTTCCTAAAGATATTTCAGAAGTTTCACCGTGAGGATCCCTGCTAACCGGTTTCCCATCACAGCAGGCTCTCTGCCCTGTAACTCAGCAGAACTGGCCACCACTGTCTGGTTGTACAAAAGCTGTAGTTTGCACAAATGATCAAAAGCTTAAGCAATGCACTGAATAACTGAGACCAACCAGTGGAGAACATCCTTCTTTGCTTTTAGATATTCTCTGTACTTAAACCAAACCAACCCTGCATACATTTTAAAAAAAAATAAATTATTTTTTCATGATAGTGCTGCTGCTTTTCTTTACCTATCTGTGTGTGTTTCTATGCTGTTGCTGGGCTCCTGGAGGAGAGGGTTGACTCTACAGAACTCATCAGCTGTGCAGGGTTAATGTGCGGCTACCGGAGAACACAGAGTATGTGCCTTTTGCACGTGGGGTTTAACAAATGTGATGATACTGTCTGACTGAACTGGCAGACAGTAGGAAACACTTTTGAACATTGTCCTACAGCCCTCTTGTTTCAGGAGGAGCTGTATCTATACTGCAGTCAAAGGGTGGTAGACATGGTCCATGTTTCGTCCATGTTTCCTCCATGTGGATTTGTGCCAGACAGGCTTGCATGAGATCCTCTGAGCTTTGAGAGGGACACCAGCCAGGGACCAGCCTTGTTTGTATGAGCTTGGTTTGCAAGGTGGATGCATCTGGTCGGGTTGTGCCACCGTTAGTCGTCCTTCAACCCGCACAAATGGTCCTGACTATCCAAAAAAGGTGATTGTCCCACACACCCTTCCAAAGCACAAGCCTAACAGTGATTTCAAATGGACTACAAAATTATCTGTCGACAAAAATACAAGTCTAAACATTGTATAGCCACCTCTGGGCTGCTCTGGTTAAATATTTTGTGCCTATACTTCCAATTTCTTCTGCACAGATTGGAAGGAAAGAAATGTTTCCTAAGAAGTAAAGAGTTTTTTTTTCCCAGAACCACCAGTCTACAGGCCCAAGAGAACAATCCAGATCAACTTCGACCAGACATAGACAGGTTGTGGCTTAGTGGCACAGTGAGAGGCACCGCAGCTGCATGGGGCTGGTGGTGGGTCCCTGCTAGGGCCCCAGCGCATGTTTGTAGTTGCATACAGGATACTTACATTGGGGTAAATACCCTGCATGCATCCTTCCTCACCTGTATGTTAAAAAACCCCTCCACCCTTAACCTACTTAATTGTTGTTATCCTAGATCCTGCCTTGTTTTCACCTCACTAAAGGCAAACTGGATGCCAACAGTGACTGAGCTAAGTGGGCTCCAAGTGCAGGATTATTCAAGGTTACACTGTTCCAAGCAGCATTTGATAAGGCTGAAAGGTTTTAATTTTTTTCTATAAGTATCTGTGTGTGTGTGTGTGTGTAAGAGAGAGAGTATGTGAGCGAAACAGTGCAAGCAATAAAATATTTTCTGTGAAGCACATGTTCCTTGTAAACCAGCAATGAGAATAAATGCAATAAATAACCAGTCCCATCATAACAGGGACTGGTGGGCAATTCTGTTGCAAAGTTGTGACAATTTCAGTTCATTACTCAGTTTCTGTCTGAGTAAAGGCCAAATTTCATTTGTGCTGAAATGTCCCGTCCCCCTTGACTAGTCACATCATATTTTACACTCTGTGTGCACGTGTTGCTCTGCACCTCTTTGTTACATACTCTCGTTGGTTGAAAGAAGGGAATTCATACAGTACCATAGAGTGGCAGGCCCAGCATCTTTTAAATATTTTAAATCTGTTTTTTAATTGTTACATAATTCAGCAAACATCAGCCACAGAGGCACTGAGCTGCCCACCTCCAGCACGGCGCACAACACTCGCAGCACCAGCAGCTTTGCTGTCGCTTGTGCCCACTGACCCTTCCCCTCCTCCTCTGTGCCTTAAGAGTTTCCCATCTTTGCTGTGTGCCTGTAGTGGTTGGTCCCTTGGATGTTCCTCTCTGGCTTTGTGCTCCTGCAAACCATCCTTCCCCAAAGCCAACCGACCTGCTGGGTGCTGGCAGTGTGTGTGTGTGCCCCAGGCTTCCTGGGGGAGCCCTTTTGCTTTCTAAGTGGGGTCTAAGCTCCTGGTTTACTTGGCCTCTCCTGGGAGCAGGAAAGACTGTGCTTGGAAATGGTCCGTGGTAGATGATTGCAGCGTGGTGGGGATAAATGCAGTGGGAAGTGCTTTGCCCAAGGGCTGTTTCCTATAGAAATGTCCTGTTGACTTCAAGCAACGGCCGAGGCTGTCAGTGCTGTGTGTGCAAACCCTGTGGCACAAGAGCAGCAGCTGCACGTCCGCTCTGCGGCGCAGTGAGCTGAGGATAGATGGATTGACTATGGATGACTCCAGCAGTTATTCTTCTTCTAAAAAAATACATAAAATAGGTGAGAAGATGCCATTTTTGTTTAAAGCTGAGAATGCCGTTTCAGTTTCTGATGCAAATTATTAAGACAGAGGCTTGTTTACGTTGTTTTTTTTTTTTTTTTTTTTTCTGGGTGCCCAAGGGTCTGGAACTGCTGTAGGCTTAAACAAGGTGGATACAGAGAGAAGCTCATGGTACCCATGGGAGAAGGAGTCAATGCTTGGTTACGGGAACAGTAATATGGAAATTATATAGATTTCATGCATTGATTTAGGTGTGAAGAGCTACAGATCCTTTTAGAGAGCAGCAGCTGAATTTTGTGGGCATGACTTCACCAGGTAATGTCTGCATCACTTGCTCCTTCCTTCCCACCACCCCCCACTGCCAGGCTGCAGCCACACTGGGGTGCAGCCCCTTGTTGCTGCGGTTGCTCTGCCCCATTATTGCCAGCCCCCCCTGTCCCCCCCCTTCCCCTGGGTGCCACAGCCCCGGTTCCTACAGCTGATTTTGCAGCTCAGTGCGGGGACTCGGTGTCCCCTGACCTGGCCCTCCCTGCTCGGCCTTCTTCCCAGCAAAGGCAATGCTGTTCCTCTGCAGTGACTACTCCTGCCACAGCTCTGGTTTTGCCTCCACGAATCCTTCCCCTACTGCCCGGCTATGGCCAGACAGACATCTTGCAGCACTAAATCAATACCAGTTTCCAGGCTGGTTTTCTTCCCTTTTCTAGCAGAGATCCCCTTTGGTCTAACGTCCTTCTTACCCATCCAACGCAGCTCTTCCAGCCTCAGCCCTCACACTGGGTTATTGCCCAGCCCGGCTGCTCTGATCTGGCTTTCACCACATCACCCTTCCTTTAGCCTTAGACATTCCTTCTGCCCCTCCAGTTCACTGTCTCCTCCTCTCTGTTGCATGTGCTGGGTTTTTTTATTTTTCCTCATGCACACACTTTTGATATATATAGTCATTCATCATTATCTATTTGAAGCAGCTCTACAAAATGTGCAGGTACTTAAACTTGAGCAAAGTCCCCTACCACCGCTGTTGACTTCACCCACTCAATTCTTGGGAGCACAAATGCATTTAGCAGATTTTTTTTTTTCTCTCATATTTGTTCTGATGAAATGTAATAACATGTGCATAGAAACTGTCTGTGATTTCACCTGCAGTGAAATCTGCAGAGTTATATGGATGAACTTTGATAAAATTAAATCTTAGTAGCAGCTCCCTGCCTCCCAACTTTTGAATCAACCAATATTGTCTGAAGCCCTTCTTTAGCTGTATGGAAGCACCTTTTACTGACACGACCAGAATATCCCAAATACATGGTGTAAACAAAGACAATGTCACACGCCATCAGTTTGCACCTTTATTTTTTAAAAATGAAATAGTCAAAGTACTTTCTTTTCAAATATCGACACATAATATATTAACTTTTAATATTTACAGCGTGTTGCTGGGATGTTCTTGTAGAAAATGCATGCTTCTGGTCTGAAACCCAGAGCAAAATGCATCAGACCATTTAACTGCAGCCATATAACATAAACCTGTACAGTATCCAGTCACTATTCAGCACAGGAGTTAGAGCAGGAATAAAAAAATTGGGATCTATTGTTTCCTAGCAACGAGGCTGAGGCCATTATAACACAATTTCTGTAAGATCAGAACCTCTAACTGGTGTTAGACAGAAACTGAAGATCTTGGCATACATTGTAAACATTTTTACTGTTGATGAGAAAGCTAAAAAGGAACATTACTTTGACATATATCATATGCTATGCTTCTCTTTCTCATTTATTGACACTTCTGCCTGAAGAGTATGAAGATTTTAATGTTTTATCATGGTTCATACAAGTAAAATACTGTCAAGGACACGATTTGATATACTAACATTTATTAAAAGGCTAAAGTCCACCACGAGATCTAAGGAAAAACTGGAAATTGTCAAACACGTTTCCTTAGACAAATAATGGCAGGTGACAAATGCCCGGACAAATCCACAGCGAGTCCGACTCCACTGTTCCCCGTTTCTGCCGAGAAGCGATTCCTCTGGCAGTCAGGGCGCTTTCAACCTGGTAATGTTTTGTATCAAGGAGAGGTTTAAGTAACAGTCAGCATTTGATGGGGAAAACCCTCACGGCAGTCGGCGGCCCGAGCGTCACCGTGCTGGATCAGCCGTGCTGCGGCGAATCCCCCCGCGCCAGCTGACACCCTGCCAGGGCTCTGCCCACCTCTTTTTGCTCAGGCTAAAGCAGGAGCTGCTCTGCCCAAACCGCTTCCCGCTTCGG